TATCATAATAAAAAAAAAAAAAAAAAGGAGAGACTTAGCACCAGCCACTGCTATGAAGCTCCAGCATGCGCCAGCACCCGCGTTTAGCGCATCAGGAGCAGCTTAGGCTACCTTCAGTCGCGCCAGCACTAGCTTAGGCCGTCCTACCACTCGTACTGCCGCCACGACTGGCCCCTACCCCCGCCGTACTAGCGTGCCATGTTGATGTGGCGACAGCGGCAGCAGCAGCAGTGGCCGCAGCAGTAGTGGCAGCAGCACCGGTGACCGCAGCAGCAGCAGTGGCCGCGACAGCAGTGGCCGCCGCAGCAGCAGTGGCCGCGACAGCAGTGGCCGCAGCAGCAGCCGTGTCCGCGGCAGAAGCCATGGTCACAACACCTGTGGCCGCAGCAGCAGCAGCAGCAGCGCCAGCGGCAGCCTCCACCGCGGGGCCCTGTCCGACCCGGCCAGTACACACACCGGTACGTGGGAGCTGCAGCTGAGGTTGACACTTGTGTTTCCAGTCTTGGTGCTTGTGTAGTTTCCAGCCCAGGCACCTCAGAGGTTCTTAGTGTCCGAGCTGCAGCTACCACTAGTCTAGTCCCAGCCTTTGTCGCCGGCTCGGGAGCGACCTCACCGACTGCACAGCTTTCCTTCACTCTACACTCTGGAGCGTCCAGCTGTTTCTTTCGCGACTGCACAGACCTCACGCCACTGCACACTCGAGTCACTGTCGCCTTGGCTGACCCCTCCATGGGATCTGTAGTTGCCCACAGCACCACCGTTCTCCCGTGTCCGGCGGCTCCCTCTGGGTTTCTCACAGGCTACTACACCCCCTCGTTCTCTAGGAACTTGGTGGGTGTCAGTCACCTCCACGACCTCGGAGTTGTCACCACTTTCTCTTTGGACGAGCCTGTTGCCTCCTACACAGTCGGTGCCACTGGAGTGCCTCTGGCCACTTTCCACAGGGAACCGGGCTCTGGTCTGTACTCACTACACACTGGGTCCCACCACACTGGGTCAGGTCAGGTCAGGTCAGGTAGCTGCTGTGTCGTGCGACTGTCGGTCACTCACCCACCAGTCGGTCCTTTGGCACCACCGTCTAGGTCACCCGTCGTTCCCACGTCTCAGTAGGATGGTACGTCACTGTCTGGTCTCAGGTCTCCCAGAGTCGCTTGCCCCGCTTCCTCGCTCGCCTGCGCCGCCGTGCACTCCTTGCGTCGAGGGTCGGCAGCGCGCTGCCCCTCACTCCTCCTCGTTCCCCCCCACCACGGCTCCGTTCCAGACACTGCACTTGGACGTCTGGGGCCCCTCCCCGGTCCGTGGCCCACGTCAGGAGCGCTACTTCCTGATCGTGGTGGACGACTACTCCCGCTACACCACGGTTTTACCTTTGCGACGGAAGGCCGACGTGCCTACCGTCCTCGAGCCGTGGCTACTAGCGAGGGGTGACGCCCAGGCCCTTTGTGGGCTCCGCCTGCACTCGGACCGTGGTGGTGAGTTTTCTTCCACTCTCCTGGAGACGTTTTGTCAGGGTCGGGGGATCATCCAGTCTTACACGCTACCAGACTCACCGCAGCAGAACGGGGTAGCCGAGCGACGCATCGGCCTGGTCATGGAGGTTGCCCGGACCTCCATGTGCCATGCTGGTGCCCCCCAGTTCCTGTGGCCTCAGGCAGTCCGCTACGCCGAGCACCAGCTGAACCTGTGGCCTAGTGACGCACGGCCACAGGTGACGCCGGTCTCCCTTTGGAGAGGTTCTCCGAGTGTAGCAGCTGACTACCGCGTCTGGGGTTCCCTGGCCCACGTTCGCGCCCCTGGCGCGAACAAGTTGTCTCCGCGCACCCGTGCATGCGTCTTTCTTGGCTTCCCACTCGACACCTCCGGGTGGCAGTTCTACGACCCGGTTACCTGTCAGTTCTTCAGTTCCCATGACGTAACTTTCGACGAGTCGGTCAGTTACTACAGGAGTTGCCCTCACTGAGGTTTTGAGACCTTTCTCCCCTCCGCTGTTCCTCACTCTTGAGCCCCCCCCAGTCGCCCTGGTAGCCCCACCCCCTTCGCGTCCTGCCCCGTCAGGTGTGTCGCACGTCACTCCGCAGTCGTCCCCCCCGCAGCGTCCAGTCCCTGTCGTGTCTGGGGATGCAGGAGGGGCAGTTGCGGAGAGTGAGGGTACTGGGGCTGCTGGAGCACGTGGTGCCGGCTTTGGGGGTGCAGGGGGTGTGAGAGAGGAGACCACTCCTGAGGAGGACACGGCTGTCTCGACTCAGCGGCCTCGCCCTGCCTCACCCCCTGGCTTCCCGTCTGTTCCGCAGTTCCCTCCTCGTTCGCCTCCGCTGCCGGTCGCTGCGGAGCCTGGGGTTGTTCCTGTCGGAGGCACTGGAGTCCCTGGGGGTGTTGTCGGTGGAGGTTCTGGTTCTGGGGGTGCTGGAGCCGGAGACACGAGGAGCCACAGGAGCAGCAGCGGGGTCAGGTGTCGCAGCAGCAGTCGCCAGAGGAGGCGGAGCAGCAGCGACTCAGAGACCTGCCCAACTCAGCACCTGCTCGCTTTGTTCGTGGTCCCCTACCGTCCCCTCCTGTTCCCCCTGTCGATTCCCTTTCCTCGTCTCAGTGGACTCGTTGTTCTCCCCTCAGTCGTGCTGTGTCCCCAGAGCCTCGCCGGTCCCGTTACCGTGCCGACGGCCCGTTTCACCTTGTTCTTCGCTCTCGTGTTCCACCTCCTCATGTCCTTCCACAGCCTCCCGAGTCGTCCCTCACTGTGTTTCACGACCCGTTGTCTGACTACCTCCGTGCCTCTCGCCCTGTCGTCTCTCGTGTTCTGTCCGCGTTGGTCACTCACCCGACTGCCCCTCCGCTGTCTGTCTCGGCCCTTGTCACTACTGTCAGTGGCTTTGCCTCTTCCCACCGCCTTGACTACGCCGCTCACTTGGTGAGTGGCACTGCTCGTTCTCCGTCCTCTGGGGGTGCTCCTGTTTTTCCCTTGGAGGTCCTGGAGGATAGGCAGTTCGAGCTTGGTTTCTTTGCGGCCGCTGTTCCTCATCACTGCGCCATGCTGCTTGCCCCTGAGGGGGATCCTGACGCCCTTGACATCCCGATCCCTCGCACTCACGCTGAGGTAGTCTCGGGACCCTGGGCTTCGTACTGGATCGCAGCTGAGGAGGCAGAGATGGCATCTTATAGGTCCACAGGCACCTACGTCGACGCCGTCCCGCCACCTGGGGCGAACGTTGTCAGTGGCATGTGGCTCTACAAGGTGAAGCGGCCGCCTGGAGCACCACCAGTGTTCAAGGCGCGCTACGTGGCGAGAGGCTTCAGTCAGCGAGAGGGGGTAGACTTCTTCCAGACCTTCGCTCCCACCCCGAAGATGACCACTCTTCGGGTGTTTTTGCATATTGCAGCACAGCGCGACTACGAGTTGCACTCCTTGGACTTCTCCACCGCGTTCCTTCAGGGGAGCCTGCACAAGCAGATCTGGCTGCGTCGTCCGCCTGGCTTCAGTGGCACTTTCCCTCCTAGGACCCAGTGGCAGCTGCGTCGACCGGTCTACGGCCTGCGCCAGGCTCCCCGCGAGTGGCACGACACGCTACGTACGACTCTTGCAGCGCTTGACTTCTTTCCGTCGTCTGCCGACCCGTCGCTGTTCGTCCGCCGTGGCTCGACCCCGTTCTTTGTTCTGGTCTACGTTGACGACCTGGTCTTCGCCATTCCCGACCGACGCGCACTGGCCTCCGTGAAGGAGGAACTGCAGAGGAGACACACTTGCTCTGACCTTGGTGAGCTGCAGCGCTACCTTGGCCTGCAGATCACCAGGGACAGGGCAGCTCACACCATTACGCTGATGCAGTCGCATATGGTCGAGCAGATCCTCACGCGGTTTCGCTTCCCGTTCTCCAAGGTACAGCCCACCCCTCTTGCTGTGGATCATGGGCTCACGGCTCCACCTTCGGATGAGCCATTTGAGTCCAGCGGTCCATATCCTGAGCTGGTGGGTTGTCTCATGTACCTGATGACCTACACTCGCCCAGACCTAGCTTACCCTCTTAGCGTCCTGGCGCGCTTTGTTACGCCTGGGAGACACCGACCTTCCCACTGGTACGTGGTTAAGAGGGTGGCGAAGTATGTGGCGAGTACATCAGGCATAGGACTTGTCCTTGGAGGGAAGCAGCCAGTTACACTTACAGGTTACTCGGACTCGTCTTGGGCCGACGACGCAGAGTCGCTGCTATCTACACAGGGTTACTGCTTCAGCCTTGGGACCGGAGCTGTTTCGTGGAGGTCGACTCGGGCGTCGTCCGTCTCTAGTTCCAGTTGTGAGGCAGAGGTGTACGCTGCGGCCATGGCCGCCCAGGAGCTTCGCTGGCTGTCTTTCCTCCTCACCGACCTTGGTGAGCGGCCTCGCTCTCCCCCAGTCTTGTTCGCCGACAACAGATCTGCTATCCTGTTGTGCGAGGAGCCTCGACTGGTTGGGAAGGCGAAGCACATCCAACTTCGTTACTTCCTTCTGCGCGAGTTTCAGCAGCGTGGCCAGGCCCGCGTGGTACGTGTGGTCTCTGAGGCCAACACTGCAGATATCTTCACCAAGGCGTTTCTGCCTTGTGATCACCAGCGTTTCTGCACCCAGCTTGGCCTTGTGTCTACAGGCCCTCACTTGCTTGCGTAGAGATGCTTTGTCTTGTAGTCTTGCATCTCACTATATACCTTCTATCTGTGCTTGTGGACAGGCCTTGTGGCCCCTTGCTTCTGTAGAGATGCTTGTCATGCATGGCTTGTACACTTGCATCTCTTATATCTGCTATATCATTGCATGTGGTCTGGCCTTGTGGCCCCTTGCTTGTTCTCGGACTGTGTGGTGATCTTGGGATCCACCCCGAGAGTCGCTTTGTTCTTGAGAACTGGTCTTGTGACCGTTGCTTTTTTCTTGCTGACTGGTCCTGTGACCCTTGGTTGTTCTCAGACTGTGTGGTGACTTTGTGATCCACCCTGAGATATGTGTAGCTTTCCACAGGTCTGTTGTCACCTAGACTATGGGGGTGTGTCAAACTATAACTGTTATAGTTTGTATTGTTTAGTCTAGGTGGTGTGCACCTTGGTTAGTGCTAGGGTTAGGTTTGCTATATCTACCCTTGTACTTGCTCATTCTAGTCATTTCATTCTTCGAGTTATTACTTTAACATGATTTTGGGAAAGGAGTGCAGCAGCAGGTGGGCGGGGCGGCTGCGCAGGTGGGTGGGGCAGGAGGGCAGCTGCAGGAGGGCGTGGCGGCTGCGCAGGAGGGTGGGGCAGGAGTGCAGCAGCAGGAGGGCGGGGCGGCTGCGCAGGCGGGTGGGGCGGGAGGGCAGGAGCAGGAGGGCGGGGAGGCTGCGCAGGAGTGTCGTCGAGGATAGGTCGCAGTAAGAAGGAGACACCGCACGGCCAGTGGCAGCGGACAGGCGGGCCCTTCGACCGGGCGCCCTTCGACGGCATGCCAATCGACGTCGGCCATTGCATCAGGAGGCCAGGTCGTCGAGCTACTGCAGAGGGTCGCGGAGGTCGAGGCGTCGCAGAAGAAGCTTGTCGCTGACGTATTTGCGAAGCACAGTGAGCAAGCTGCTGTTTTCAAAAAGCTTGCTGGGGATTTTCGGACGGCCTGGAATACTATTTCGGAGTCGTCGAAGAGCACGCTGAAGCAGTGCGGTGACGCCGTCAACGGTGTCACGGAGGAGAGGAAACTGGTGGAAGGGGCGCGCACGAAGCTCGACGAGATGAGCGGGAAAACCATCGAGGGGGTGGCTGCCGCTATCGCAAAAGCGAGCGAGGACGCCGTCGAGAAACAGCTCAAGCTTGTCAATGAGCGCCTGGTTGCTTCGGTCGTGCAAGGTATTGAGAAAGCCGTCAAGGAGGACTTGTTCTACTCCGCCATCCCGCCCGAGAGCATGAAGGTGATGAAGGACGTTGTGAAAGAAGGCTACCGAGAAGCTGAAGCTGGCAGATTGGAAGTCCTCACCGAAGCGATGGCGAGAGGGTTTCGGGGCTCCGCGGGCCCGTCTACGAGGTCGCGTCAGGAGGAGGGTGCGGCTGGTGTTCGCAGCGGGGGTGAGCGTCAAGGTCATGAGCGCTCGGTTCCTCCTTCTTCTTCGGTGGGAGGACATGTCGGCAGCCCGGTAGCATCCCCACCGTCGCGTGCCCGTCATCCCGTCGGCAAGTCCGTCGAGGATAAAGAGGTCATCGTACTCGACCAGTCGCCCCTTCAGAAGACCTCCGAAGCGGCACCGAAGCTGCCGCTTGATGCTTTTGCGCCGCTGCGGGACATGCTTTCGGGCCTCGGGAAAAAGGGTGGGAAATGATTGGTTGCGGGGGAGAAAAGTGGTGCCCCTATCGAGTCCGTCGCCTCAGCCGGGAAAGGAGCCGTGGGAAATCAAGGTGCCCCTACCCCGTCAGGCAGCGCTCCGGGAAAAGGAGCGGGGGAGACACTGGGTGCTCCCAGCCAGGTCGTCGTCGCTGGTGGGTTGCTGTCGAAGACAAAGGCCGACTCTGCTGCGCAGCTCGGTGTTGTTGGCCGTCCTGTCGAGCCCGTGGGGAAGAGGGCGTTTTCCTCTACCCCTCCCGTTGCTCCTGTCGCTTCTCCCGTCCTAGGTGACGTCCACCTTAGCGAACCGGCGTCCCCTCCTCCTGGTCCACGCGACTCCCCTTCTGCGTCGAAGAAAAAGCAGGCGTCGAGGAAGTCGTCGAAGCGCGGTGCAGGGGCGACAGAGAGCGGTGCCGTGGTGGAGCTGGTCAGCCTCCCTGGCCAAGCTTCTGTCGAGGCGGCGTCTACCGTCGTTGCTGGTCGACAGGAGAAGGCGAAAAAGGCCAGGGTGCTCCGCTACGCCGCACCTGGGCCGCCGGACGACGAGGGCAAGGTGAGGGGCGCCATAGCTCCGTTCAAAGGCTCGGGCATGTGGATTAGGAGTGGGAAGCCCGTTCCGGAGCAGACCGTAGGTGGGAGGAAGCGGTTTCTCGGCACTTTTGAAACGGTGGAGGACAAGAAGTTCTGTACGGCCATCTGCTGGCGCGTTTACTTCCCCGACGTAAAACTCGACGAGTACGAGGGGTTCACGGCGGAGGATGCGAAGGAATGGAAGTAGTATCTTGATGTCGCCGCTACTTTTCCGACCGGAAGCAGTATCTTGATGTCGCCGCTACTTTTCCGACCGGAGTGTGGAGCGTGGCGCAAGAAGGGCAGTGTCGTTTAGACGAGTGAGTATTGTCGAAGTCGTGTCCTTTTGCTGTCGAGGTGGTGTCTTTTTACTGTCGAACTCGTGTCGCTGTACCGTCGAATTCGTTTCGTCGTTTTACTGTCGAGCTCGTTTCGTCGCTCTACCGTCGAGTTCGTCTCGTCGTTCTACTTTCGAGCTTGTTTCGATGCTCTACCGTCGAATTCGTTTGTCGTTCTACTGTCGATCTTGTTTCGATGTGCAGTTTTCCATCGCTGCTGGCGATGGCGCGGACGGAAGAGAGAGCAGGGACGACCTGGGGAATCGCTCTGTGCGCGGCAATTGGGAAGGTTGCGACGCTTGGCAACAAGCACGGGAACCTGATTTATCCAGTCCCGCAGAAAATGGGAGGGACTCCGCACATGATGGCCGTCGCAGCAGCTGTGGCAAGCTTGTGGGCGGCATGCAGGGGGTTGCCCAGGGAAGCTATTCAGGAAGAAGCCCTAGCTGCCGCAAACGCAGCCATCTACAACCCGGCATGGCCAGCCTGGCTCAGACGGCTGCCATGGCCGCGCTCGTGTCGGTCCTTTTGCACGTGGGCACGACGGTCCCGCCCAAGCAGTGGCCCGGTCTGCTGTATTCGTCGGTTGTCGAAGGCCTCGGCTCCAAAAACGGAACCCTGTTGCAGATGGTGCGCGTCGCAGCACAGGTCTGCACGCAATGGTGCTGCTGTGGATACACAGCCCGCATGCTGGAGGCCGCCGGCTATGGGAGCCTCGCCATGCCCGAAGAAAAGAGCAAGGCGAAGCAGGGCGAGGCGGATGCTAGCGGGGCTGGGGCAACTGGGACAGGGGAGTAGTGTAGCCGGGCGCTTTGCTTGGGGGTTGTTGCTGGCTTCGACAGATGTGTTCCTAGTTTTTAGTATGGTCGATTCGGCAGATGTTTGCTTTTCATTGTTTTTGACCCAAAACCTGCTCGGCAAATCTTTGCTTTTCATTGTTTACGACCCTAAACCTGCTCAACAGTGACTTTGAGTTGAGCTAAACTGGGTTGCTGCATGATTCGACAGATGTGTTCGTAGTTCAGTACATGGTTGATTTGACAGATGTTTGCTTCCCATTGTTTTCGACCCTAAACATGTTCGACAGTGTATTATTTTTTAGCTAAACAAGGTGGAATTGTCGAGATGGTCTCACAAAACATATCATGGGAGCATACAAGTCAACCCTACATGAAACACATACGCTAGGACCCCCCCGCGTCACGGTTGTCCGTCGAACTAGGACGCGCGCCTGTTGTTCCCGTGAACTCATTCCATTTCTCCTTGCCGAACACCTTCTCCGCCCACTCTGCGGTTTGGAGCTCGACGCGAATGAGCTCCAGAGTGATTTCGAGGCGTTGTTTGTCCTTCCGGTTCTCTTATGCAGACTCGACTTTGCGCTTTTTCGTGAGCTGCCTCCCAGAATCCTCCTTGAGAACGATGCCCTCTGAAAGCATGTTGATCGAGTGGTCCTTCACAATTGAGTCCAACTTTTCGATGACCGTCGACGTAGCCGCGCTACTGTCGTTGATACGGAAATGCTCGACGGCCTTCATGACAGCCTCCATTTTCCGCAATTTCGTCTTGATAGCTTTTGCGGTTGGTGGCTTTTCTTTTGGCTGAGCCTCTTGTTCGGGGGTTACGGGGGGTGGAGACGGTGTGAACTTGCAGAACTTGACGGCGAAGCCCCTCTTGTAAGCCTGTCGAAGACTATGCCCGTTGTTCAGTGGGCTTGGCCCGTCCTAGTACGACCACGCCTTCCGCACGGTCTCGCAATTGCACCACGGCCACACCACCGCGTGGAAGAATGCCTGGTCGAGCTGGCTGCCCACGCTCTGTCGAGAGGGCGTTGTTTGTTCGGCTTGCTGTGGACCCGGGGTGGCTTCCTCGGTCGCCGTCTGCGGCACGCTCTCGCTCTCCCCCACAATTGCAGCTGCGCTTGTCGCCGCGGTATTCTTCAGTGCGTCGAACGCTTTCTGTAGTTGAGCGAACGCCTCTGTCTTCGCCTCCAACTCTGCCTTCATCGAGCTCTTCTCCCGCTCCAATGACTCGACCTGCTTCTCGAGGTGGTTGATCTGGATTTCCTTTTTCCCTCTCCTCCTTGTGGAGGTTGATCTCGGCCCGAAGTTGCGTGATGAGGTGCTTGGTGTTGAGGTGAGAGGATACGTCCTGCACACAAGAACACGTGCAGTCAGAGGGCTGATGCAAAGTCGTCACTTATAGTTTTGGAAGGACCATCTTACCGTCGCTCTCGACATCGTGGGGTTGGTCCGCATCTCGATGCCGTACTTGTCGAGCGTGTACACGTCAAGCGCCCATTTTTGGAAATCTTCGTCCTTGCACAAACGCGACATCTGGGCGTAAGGGTGACGCTCGCAGTCACAAACGCTGACCCTGTCGAAGGGGTGGTCCTCACAATGGACGTAGTACATCGCAAGATCCTCTGCGATGGGCATTCGGGCGGCTAGCAGGGCCTCCAAGAAACTCTTCGCTGCGTAGTACATATGTTCCTTGTCCTGCTCGTTGTTCCACTCTATCGCCTGAACATGAACGAACGGGGTGACATCGAGAGATGGATAGACGAGCAACACTTGCGTTCGACGAAGACGCCAAGTGCTCGACAGATACATACCTCGATGAGCCACATCTCCGCCTTAGGAAATATGTGCTCCTCGATCGCCTTCAGGACCTTCGGGGCCACTTTGGTCTTCGATCTTCCGATGTAATAGTCGCCCGGTTCCTGCGAGAAACCCGCTTGCATCTGGATGGCCGGGCGCGGGATGCCTGTGACGTATGACCTGCGCATCTCGTTCATGTCCCATTGACCCAGCCGTGCGATGGTGTCGAGGTCTAAGTTTTTGTCCGCGAGGATCTGTGCCGCAGACCGTCGAAAGATGTGCATGACTTTCGACAGGATCCACTCCGCGCTTTTCATCGCCCATGTCACCCATTTGTTGTGCGTCGGGTACGGCATCTCTGTCTTCTCTTTGTCGAAGAGGGCGAAGAACAGGTGTTTCTTCGACCAGGCCTCCGGGTTTGAAAAATCCAAGGGGGGCACGATTTTATCGTTGTTGTAGAAGAGCGGCACGAGGTCGAAAATGAAGTGTAGCCAGAGGAAAACTGCACCAAAGCCGCACTGCTGGAAGTCCATGTGTCGAGTCAGGTACAGGTGGCCGAGCTTGTTGTCTTTGACGGTCTTCGAATTGCGATAGGCGACCACGAGAACGAGGATCGACGATTCCCCCTTGCTCTTCGTGATGGGCAGAAGGACGTGAGCGAACATGTTGCAGTAGCGGATCGTACGGATGCTCATCCCCTTGCCCAGCATGTGATGCGCCATCAGAATCATCACCCTCACAGCCAAGGCCTTCCACAGCAACAGACTGGGGTAAGCCATCGACAACCCGAAGTACACCTTGGCCCAGTGCGGCAGGATGTCTGAAACGAGAATGCGGAACTGCTCCTCCGTGTAGACATCGTCGAGCGAGCCACAGTGTGGGTCGACACACCTCCTGCATAGAGTGGGCAGATACATCGATTAATAAGTGAGAAAGTGAGTGAGAAGTTGTAGCCGACGGGGTAGGGAAGCGTACTCACTCGAACTGAAAGTCGTGCAGCTGTCGCATCTTGACCGCTAGTAGCTGCCTAGCCTCGGTGATGTCGTCCATGGGTTTTGTGAGTGCTTCGTCGAAGACTATGGCCTCTACTTTGCACAAGCACCCTAGCGCAGTTAGGCGCGCGCGCATCATTGGTGGGGTGCATTTTTTGGGCTTCCGTCCCGCTACTCTGGTCCGCCCGGTATCCAAGGAAGCCGCCTGTTCGTCCGTTTCCGTCGACATGTACTCGACGTAAGCCCGCAAGCGCCATTTTGACGTCCAAGGCCCATGCAGGTGCTCCCCGTTAAGGAGCGCCGCCCTCCACCCCTTCCCTAAATCCTTGCCGATCTCTCTCCCGACCTCGTCCTCGTTGATCACCTGCTCCTCGACCGGCACTCCGATGTTTTTTCCGGGCGCCAGGGTTACACAGGCCCAAGCCTTGAAATGCATGAAACCCGAGACGTAGTTTGGCCGAGTGGAATCCTGGTCGATTGCCAGCAGCGGAAGCTGACAACGGTGAATCGCACTTTTGAGAGTTCCCGTCGCCAAGTACGGATTTTCTTCGCCCTGTTCGTCACCGAGAATGTGGGATGCCTCCTCTTCTGATATATTTGCCGCGGCAAGGCGCAAAGGGTCGACCTCCCGCAAAGGGTCCACCTCTTCGACATCGTCCGCCTCAGGTTGTTCTCCTGGCTCATCGTCGTCATCATTCGTCTCTATAGGGACGTGGCTGGCTAAGTCCGCTTTGCTGGGTCTTTTCGATGAGCGCATAGGCGCGGTGGGAGTGGCTCGCGAAGTGGATGTACCGGCTGGGGGTGGTGGCCTAACCTCATCCGGAACACCCGTACCCCTTCTCCTACGTCGCCCACCAGTCGAGCTCGGGACAGCGGCTACTGGTTCCGCCGGTGTTGTCGAGCGGTGTGGTGCCGAAGATGATGACGGCTGGTTTGTCACTTCCGGTGTTGAGGGAGGGGTTGTTGTCGAAATCGGTTCTACTACTACAGGTACGGATTGCGCCGTTGAAGGGACTTTGGTCTGTGCCCCCCCCACTTCGACATTGACGGGACGGTCCGTCGAGCGTTGGTCCGTCGCAACCGGCTGAACCACTACCGGTATGGCTCGTGACGTCGAGGGTGCCGCTGTTGTTACCGCTATGGCCCGTGACGTCGAGTGTGGAGCTATCGAGCTCGGTATGGCTCGTGACGTCGATGGTGGAGCTGTCGAGCCCGGTATGGCTTGTGACGTCCTAGGGGGTTGGGTCGAGATGGTTTCAACGTCGACAGGTAGCGGTCCTACCGCTGCCTGCCGGAAAGGCGTTTTCCTCGACGGATCGTTCTCCATCAGTGCCTACCAGAAAGTTCTCATTACCGTAGCGTTGGCCTAACAAACAAAAACGATGTTAATGCTGTTGTTGTGCTGACAACCCTTACCTTACAGATGTCCTCAAGGCCTTGGCCTTTGACGTGGCCTTCATCTGTTGACGTGACCCCTTTGATGGCGACTTACGTAAACCGTCGCCCGTCGGACAGCGACGTCTCGCTCGACCGTCAAAGTGATCGGTCGACCGCACTTGACGGCGCCGTCGATTGTGACAGTCGGCCGGTTGCGAAACCCGTTACCACTCACGTCGACCGACAGAGCGGCCTGTTAGGCGACGTCGATGGCGATGTCAGGCGCTGTAACCCGTCTTGTCGGGGGTGCACGGTGCTCGAGGGCGATTGGCCAATGCCCGTCGAGCAGTGCTCGATAAATGTCCCCGAAATTGCAACAGTACGGCTGACATATATATGTGCAGAAGAATACGACATTGAGACGGAGGGTTTCGGATGGATTTTTCGCCTGGTCAGGAGGGATTTTCGGGGTGACCCGAGGGATTCGGAGGGTTTTTCGATTTGCCCCGAAATCCCTTTGTGCCAAGACCCGTGGGGCGGCATGTGATGACGTCACCCGTCCCTATATTACTGGAATTTACCCCTCAGAGTACATGGCTAGTTAGATCTATTTATTGTGTGTAATTTTATGTTTTAATCAACTTTGTCAGAGTTCCTACAACAAAGACTTCCGCTACCAACTCTTCTAACATTATCTTCCAGCTCTATCAAGGATCCTTTCTCTAACATCATCTTCCAGCTCAAAGCGCAACCGCCACGAGCCGTCATACACTAACCGACAAAACATCACCAGGGTCAGGTTTTCACTCCTCGCCCTGTGACGATTCATCTTTTCAACCCAAGGCGCAATCAACTATCTCAAGCCGCCATGCACCAACTGCCCAAGTCGCAACCTCCAAACAACTCTCAACGCGACCCCGACAGAGCCACAGAGAGAGAGGGGCCCCTATAAGAAGTAGAGGGTCGATCGCGAAGTCATTCTTCATTCTTCACTTCGTCAATTCGTTTTTGGAAATACCCAGCTCGCCATTCCCCAAGGACTACTTTCGTTCTTATGGAGATCGATCGTCCGAGTTCGCCAATCTACCAGGTCGCCCCAAAGGAGCAGCCTGACCTCAAGGATCTCACACTTGAGGAAGTGAAGCAGAAATGTAGATTCAAAACAACAATAATCGAGCTAACCGAACGTGGAGGCCACGCAAAAGTTCCCGATGACCATCGCTACGAAGAGGGAGAAGTCCTGCTCAACGAACAAGCACGCCTAGCATCTAGTTACGGCAAGTGGGTCAAATGGATGTACGGCGAGAAGATTTACCGCGCAATGCTCTTGCCGGCCACGCTCGCGCGCTGCAATGCTCTTGCTAGCACGGGCGCGGTCCGCCGGGGCGAGCGGGGACGCGGGCGCTGTCGTTGGCCGTCGGGGCTGGCGGGGGCGCGAGCCGCCGTGGAGAGGAGGGGACGCGGGTGCAGATCGCCGTGGAGGGGCGGGGGCGCGGGGCGCGGGCCGCCGGGGCAAGCGGGCGAGGGGCGCGGCGCACTGCAATGCTCTTGCTGGCACGGGCGCGGTCCGCCGGGGCGAGCGGGGACGCGAGCGCTGTCGTTGGCCGCCATGGCTGGCGGGGGAGCGGGCCGCTGTGGAGAGTAGGGGACGCGGGTGCAGATCGCCGTGGAAGGGCGGGGGCGTGGGGCGCGGGGCGCGGGGCGCGGGGCAGGGGCGCGGGCCGCGGGCCGCGCCGGGGCGGGGGGCGCGGGCCGCGGGCCGCGCCGGGGCGCAGGTCGCTCCAGCACGCACCTTCAGCTTGCATCCTCGCGCATCGTCAGAGCTATTTACTAGCGTTTGGATTCGATATTTCATCTTCCTCTTTTTCTATTTTTTTCGCCGTCGATATCATCATGTCCCTGTCGCTACTGTGCCGCTATAGTTCTCATCCGCAATGGAAACCCTTTCCGTCGACCTCCTCAACTACATTTTGCGACGTGGCATGTGTTTCGAATTATTTTCATCGCGTCGTCAAGGAGTCTGACTGCCAGGACTCGTTGCAGGTGTACTGCCAGGAGAGGCTTTTACATCCCCATGAGGAACACATCCGCATACTAGAAGGCTCTAGTTCTCCGTCAAGCAAACAAATTATCAGTGCAATAGAACACTATCGAATGGTTTTTCAGTCCATGATGGGGCAGATTAATGATGACGTTGATTTTCGAGCGCTCGCTCAACTTCTCGACTGGTGTCCAGGTGTGCCAAATGTGTGGAGAGTAGAAGAGGTCGAGCAGGAGCTTGATAGCGATAAGGCGCACATGCGGTTGCATACATAATGGTCGGCAGTGACGGCCTGACCACGCGGCTGTCACCCACACAAATTGGATTACGAGGATCATGCTTTATGTTCAGGGACTTTCACACGTTGGGAGCCTTTTACTGCTTTCCTGCAGCTATAGCCGTTCGTGCCACTGCTAGTACGGTCGTTAGTTCCACAGCTGCTGCAGGTGCTAGTGCTGGTCCTCATGCGTCGTCCTCTCATGCCCATCGTTTTGGTGCACCAACTGCCCGACGTGGTATCGCCTCCCCAGGTACTGTACACCCCACCCCAATGGAGGGGGGGAGGGGAGGTTGGTGGGGAAAGGGGGGACGGGAGGTTGGCACGTGCCGCGCTTCGTTCACTCAAGCGTACCTTCGTGTGTGTGACTTGCGGGTCTCCTGCGTTTCCACCTGCGCCTGCTGTCCCTCGCTAACGTGCGCATCGTCAGCGACCCATACTTGAAGAGTCTGTGGACGTTTGAGTCCTTCTTCTCAGCATGCATCGAAGCATTGCCTGACCGACCGCTTTGCCCTCATCTTTCACTGCTCGTCCATGCACCACACCCACTCTCATCCTCCAACCCCCTCCCTTCTTCCCCCACGTCCCATCAGCAACTGGAGGCCCAGCAAGGCTCCTACTTCTCTGCGTCCAAGCACTGTCTGAGCGACTTCTTCGCGCTCATCTCCCGCTACTCCTCCGTGCACCACCCCCACTCTCTCCCTCCCATCCCTCTCCCCCCACATGCCTTCATGCTCGTGCCCCCCATCATCAGGACATCCACATAGCGACAGAGACTGGTTCGCGCTGCTGCCCTGCACTGCCACCTGCAAGAGATGAGTGAGGGTGCGGGGAAATAGGGCGAGAGGCGAGAGGTCAAGCATGGGAAGACATACGAGGACAAAATTCTGGAAGGAAACGCGAAAAGCTACACTTGTTGTCAGGCGCGACTCGTGGAAGCAGCCATGGGGCGTGGCGCATGGGGCGTGGCGCATGGGGCGTGGCGCATGGGGCATGGGGCATGGGCCGTGGGGCATGGGGCGTGGCGCATGGTGCGTGGCGCATGGGGCGTGGCGCATGGTGGGTGGCGCATGGTGGGTGGCGCATGGGGCGTGGCGCATATATTGAGTGTGTTACCGTCATCCGAATCTGCCCATGGTTCTTTGCACCTTGCCGCATGCACACCATACCCTAAACCTCCCTGTCCTGCAGATAGCAACCACTCTATAGCTTAGTTGAAAAAGACGCTTGGGATGTACTGCGTCCTGCGTCTGGACGCTCGGCAAGACGCAGGACGCTTGGCGCTTTTTTTTTTTTCGGGCTAATCGGAAAAAAAAAATTGCCACATCGCGAAATTTTACATTCGCGATTTCTACACAAATGTCAATTTTGCGTCATGTCGACCCCCCCCAACCCAAATCGACCGTGAAAAACAGCCCCCGCACCACATTTCTAACCACTCCTTGCAATATTTGAAAGCCCACCCATCACAACTCCTCTACTTCTACAACACCAAACCAATGTGGCCCACAACCAAACCCACTAAGGGTTGCAAACTACTCATTTGTGCTCCCTCACTTTAGCAACTCAATTATCCTTGGTAAACCCTAGCGGTTTTAACTACCTAGCGCACGTTCGTTATGGCTTCCACTCCATCATCTTCCGCCGCTTCCAAAGATGATGATGCCGTCGGCGAGTATCCCCCCCCGCGGTTCACTAAGGAGGGGGTGGAGAAGAAAACGCAAAACCCCAAGCACATAATTTATAAGCATTACTGGACCTTCGACGATCCGACAAAAAAGGGGAAGCAAGCGGAGTGCCTTTGGTGCGAGAAAACGTTTGCCTATAGTAGTAGCTGGTGCACCAAACACCTCGTCGTATGGAACGACTCGAACGTTCGCCGCGAGGCCGGGATTGTTTGCGCAAACGTTCCGAAGCGCATTTCGAACTGCATTCGCGACATGAAGGAGTCCAAACTAACGGCGTGCAAGGATAAGGAGAGGGCGACGGATGTGGCGCTCACTGCAGTGAGAGGCAAAGGCGGAGCGGGACCGAAGGCTAACGCTGGCGGATGGAGGACTGGTATGGCGAGGGGGGGATCTCGGCGAAGCATGCGTCCGACGAGGTTTGCCTCTACTTCGCGGGGACGCGCACGGCGGAGCTTTAGTGCGAGCACCCCCTCTTCCTCAACATGCTGCGAGCCGTTGCCGCCGCCGGAGGCAGCTACGCCCCCCCCCAAGCTCAGCTACGTTGGATGCAACTACGTCCCCCGGGCTGTTGGAGTGCAAGCAGCGGATTGAGAAGGGGTTGGAGCCCGTTACCAATACGTGGAAGGAGACGGGCGTGTCGATCGCGAGCGACATGATGACAGACAAGTGCGGGCGCGCGTTGATGAACATCATCTGCATCAACGACAGTGGTGCAGTTTTCACCGAGGCGATCGACTGTAAGGCGGATACGAAGTGTGGGGCGTTTATCGCCGGCATCCTGCGGCCGGTCATTGAGAAGGTTGGGCCGGAGCACGTCGGCGCGCTTTGCACGGACGGCGGCAGCAACTACGTGGCCGCATGCAAGCTGCTGCACAAGAAGTACCCGCACATCGAGATCGTCCCCTGCGCCACTCACGTGCTGGACTTGCCGATGGAGGATATCGGCGGGATGGATTGGGCGCAGGAAGTCGTCCCAGTTGCGACGACATAATCACGTTCCTGCGCATCCACACGTGGACGCGTGCCTACCTGCGGAGTCCCAAGCTGCACGGGGAGAAGGTGATGAAGCCGTTGCGACCGGCGGGCACGCGCTTTGGGACGCAGTACATCGCAGTGCCTCGTCTGTGCCAGATTCGCTCGCAGCTGACGCAGATGGTGTTGCACAAGGATTGGGCGGAGAAGGGGAAGAATCAGACTGGAAAGGTGTTCGAGGCGATGGTAATGGATGCGGCGTGGTGGAAGAAGGCGGAAACCTTTGTGAAGGTGATGGAGCTGCCGTACCGGGTGATGAGGAGGACGGATGGGGCGGCGAAGGGGAAGATGGGAGCGATGACCGACATCATGCTGCTGCTGACGGAGGAGTTGTCGGGCTGTTGGAGGGCGATGATTGTCGGCTCAAGCCGACGGATAAGGGAGGGGGTGCAGGAGCATTTGAGGCGGCGTTGGGATGAGAGTTTGGCCTGGCCCCTTCACGTGGTCGGCCGGATTTTGAATCCGGCCAACCAGGAGGGGATCTTCCTCAAGGATGTTGAGTGCACCAGGGTGATGAAGGCTTGGCTTGCACGCTCCATGACCTTTGTTGACAAGTACTGGAAGAAGTCCAGCACGCAGGGAACGTCCAAGGCTTTGCAGGAGGCTATGCTGACGTTTGTTGAAGGCAAGGGGTGCTTCGGGACAGAGGAGGCGATAGAGGGGCGTGCGGAGCTGCAGGCAGGGAAGGGGGACATGTTGACGTGGTGGAAGTTAAACGGCTGGGAGTACGCCGACCTTGCTGGCCTTGCGTGCCGAGCGCTGTCACAGCCCGTGCTAGCAGGGGTGGGCTGTGTGGGATGGCGTGCACACAGCGCGCAGGAACAAAATGGGGTCGGAGAAGTTGCGCGACCTTGTGTTCGTTGCGCACAACTAGACTGTTGTGCACAACTACCACAAGGGTGCGGCTGGAGCAGGGCAAAGTGGGGAAGTAAGGAAGGCCGGGGTAGTGGGGGGGAACATTCCCACCCCTCCCTTACCCGAGGGGTGCAAGTTGGAGGAGGATGGGGATGTGGAGGTGGACGAGGACGACATGTGCGTCGACGAGTACGAGCACCAGGAAGACGAGGAGGAGGAGGAGAAGGAGAGCGAGGAGGAGGATGAGGATGAGTGATTGTTTGCATTGTTGCCGTAGGAGTATGCATGTTGCTGATGCTGAGTGACTTGATTATGTGTGTACTTGACTAGACCTTGTGACATTTGTGACTCACCAAGATCTTGATGATGGGGGAGAAAACATTTGATGGGGAACATTTTGTATTGAATGAATGCTACAATTTTTTATCATGAAGCGTCCTGCGTCTAAGACGCTGCGTCTGGACGCCAACATCTTGGACGCAGGACACGTCTTTTGCAACCAAGCTCTGCAGCTCTTCTTGCTGCAACTCCATTAACACAAGTGCCAACGGCAACTCAAACAGCACCATGAGTAGCACCAATAGTAGCATCACTGGCAGCAACATCAGCAGCACATTTGCTGCTTCTCCAATCCCACACCCACATGGTGAGTCGCGGTGCTGCTGCTGCTACAAAGCCAGTTCATCGCCCACGTCCACCCCCATGTGGTGATTTAATTCTATGCATCTATACGAAAAAATGAATGCTTGAGTGCATGTTGTTATTGATGTCATTGTTGCTGCTCAAGCGCCCCTACCCTTTGGCATGGCGTGTCATCGTTGCTGCTCAAATCCCCCTGCCCTCTCAACATTGACAATGTCACATGTATATGTCATTCCCTCTCCGTGTGCCTTGTTCCCAGAGTTGGACTGGGATGCGATACATGCACTTCTCAACGAGGAGGCGAACAAGATAGATGATATCGAGAGCTTGGAAGAGTGCCAAAACAGTATAGTAGAAGCCGAGCTAGGTATGTTCAAGGGGGTGGGGAGTGGCATGGGGAAGGGAGTGGTGGGATTTAGGGTTTAGGTATGGGGAAGGGAGGGAAGGGGAGTAGCATAGGGAGGAGGCTGGCAAGGGAGGGGAGTGGCATGGCGAGGGGAAGGGGATGGCAAAGACACGGGAGTAGCATGGGGAAGGGAGGGTAGAGGGGTGGCATGGGGAGGGGCGTGGCGTAGGGAGGGAGGTGGTTGGGGAATGGGGTGGCATGTAGAAAGGGGTGGCGGGGGATGACTGGGGCGGCGGGGGATGAGTGGGGTGGCGTGGGGATGGGAGTGAACGAACATTTTCTCATCTCTCCACTCTGTTCCCTCTTCACCGACAGACCTTGAGAACAACCCCGACGATACAAGCAAGCTGGAAGTGATGCAAAGCGCCTATCGCGACTGGATAACTGAATACGAACGGAGGCGCGTGTACGTTGAATTACAAGAGAAATTGAGGTATGAACATGTTTACTCAACACAGACTCAAGCTCGCAACAATGACTTAAGTAAACAATATCATACTTTTTTTACCTCAATAAGCCACTGATTTTCAAGCAGGCACATCCGCATCTCCTTCTTCTCCTCGTGCCCAACAGTGGTCCATGCTGCATTGCTGAAGCCGTCCAACCCCTCTGTCAAAGCATGCATGCTCACCGTAGCAGGTAGACCTGTACGTACGGTCCTTCCAGCTAAAAATTGGAGTAGAAAATAAGGAAAAAAATGATAAAGCAATAAGAATGTTAACCAAACGAATATGAAAGGAGGGAATTCGTGCACATGATAAGACATTTAGAGTCTGTAGAAGCTGCTTTGAATGGCATGGTAAAAAAAAAAAAACGCATTTACAATGTGTCAGAATATTATGCTTGTCTAGTCAGCAGTGGGGTACTCAATAGTGAGTATAACCCTTTTGGGCTTGCTATTTGTATCTCCCTCCTTTCTAGTTCAAACCCTCTTTTGCCTATTCTCTCTTGCCTAGCTAGCTAAACCCTAGTTATGGCTCCTGCGTTCTAGCCACTATTCTAACATGGTAACAGAGTGGTTACGCTCCTGGCCTGTGGGCCCGCCTGCTTCCGCTGCCATACTGTCTGTCGCGCGACGTTCTTTTTTTCTTCCCGCCACGCGCTCGGGGCGCGTGGCGGTTTTCTGCCCGCCACGCGCTCGGGGCGCGTGGCGGTTTCCTTCCCGCCGTGCGCCCCGGGCACGCGCGGTGGTTTCGTGCTCCGTCCCGCGCGCTCCCCCTCGTCGTCCGTCGTGGCGCCCCCGGGGACCCGCGGGCTCTCCCCGTCGTTCGTCGCGGTGCCCTCGGGGACCCGCGCGCCCCCCCCCGTCGTCCGTCGTGGCGCCCCCGGGGACCCGCGCGCGGCCCCCCCCCGTCGCCCGTCGTGGCGCCCCCGTTGACCCGCGCGCCGCCCCCGGGGACCCGCGCGCCCGTCCTCGTCGACCCGCGCGCCCCTCCTGTGGACCCGCGCGCCGCCCCCGGGGACCTCCGCGGCCGCCCCCGTCGACCCGCGCGCCCCTCCCGTGGACCCGCACGCAGCCTCCTCCCCGCCCCCCCCCCCCCTTCTTCTTCGCCTCCCTGCTGCGAGAGCAGCCGTGGAGTGGAGGGTATGGGGGTGGCGGGTATGGGGGTGGCGGGTGTGTGAGCCGTCCCCTGCTCCTCCTCCTCCTCCGTCTCCCACTGCTGCAGCTGCCGCTGAGGGGGGTGGGTGTGTGGGAACCGAGGGAGTGGTGCTAGGGGGGTAACATGGGAGTGGAGCTAGGGGTGCAGCAAGGGGTGTGTGAAAGGGGGGTGGGACAGTTGGGGGAGGTTGAGCGGAGGTTGAGCCGTCGTGTCATTGCTTCGGTAGCCACTGAGCCAGCCGCTACTGTGTGTCTGCAGCTTCCGTCGTCGCCTCCCATCTCCTCTCCTCTCACAGTCCCTCCTCCTCCTCACTTGCCCTCTGTGAATGCCTCTAGGTTTGCTTGTACTTGTGAACCTGCTCTATGACTGCTGCTGTGCTGATTATACCCCACTTTGACTATGGGGGTGTGTCAGAATATTATGCTTGTCTAGTCTGCAGTGGGGTACTCAATAGTGAGTATAACCCTTTTGGGCTTGCTATTTGTATCTCCCTCCTTTCTAGTTCAAACCCTCTTTTGCCTATTCTCTCTTGCCTAGCTAGCTAAACCCTAGTTATGGCTCCTGCGTTCTAGCCACTATTCTAACACAATGATATTGATAAAGTATTACGATATAAAGGAAGAGAGACTATATAGAAATGACCAGGCCAATAAGTGAAGATTAAAGGAGAACAATAGTGTACATAAAGAATACGCACCTCCTGTAGTGTTAAACACCACCGTGATGATATCACTCTTGGTGGCATTTGTTGTGCGGTGCTTCATTCCACACACGTATTCACCACTTGTGAAATCCAAACGAACTGGGAAACCACACGTATCTATCTCCTTCTCTTTGTCCTCTGTGTTCTTCGTTGTGTTCTCAAATAAGCAAGTCCATTCCTCTTTGAGCTCATTGTCTAGAATCTCTACAACAATCTTGCAAGTGACATTTGTACTCAGTCCAATGGCTCAGTCTTCCACTGCTCCCAAACTGATGAAAAATGAAGGACATATGAAAAAAGGGAAGATGGTGAAATGAAAATAGGGGTTTAGAGTAGTCCAAGGAAAATGGGAGGACATATGTCCAAAGGGAGGATACACAAAATCAAATCACAAGAATTGCGTCAAACAACAAGATTGTTTCATCACATATTCAAGTTCTTTTACCCACCCATTGAAATTATACGTCGCCCACCCACTCTCGCTCTACATCCACCTTCCTTTTTCACCCGAATTTTCCCATCTACCCTCGCACTGAACCAAGCACCCACACTCGCTCTCATCCATGCACCCACTCGTGCACTCGGCCACACACTCAGCCTCGCACCTGACCATATACAAATATACAGGGCCACGCACTCAGTCACGCAGTCATCGTCGCACTCGTCTTTGAACTTATTCACTCCTCTACGCACTCAGTCACGCACTCACTCTCGCACTCAGCCACGCACTCACTCTCACACTCAGCCACGCACTCACTCTCACACTCAGCCACGCACTCAGCCACGAACTCCGTCACGTAGTCAGCCACACATCCATACTTCCACTCACCCTCTCATACACCGTTGCATTCAGCCACGCTCTCGTCCGCGTACTGACCCTCGCACTCAACTTCACACACCCCGTTGCACTCACCCTTGCAAACAGGTACGCACTCACTTTCACACTCGGTCATGCATTTGCTCAACCTCGCAACCACCCTCGCACTCACTCACGCACTCAATAATGCAATCAGCTACGCACTAATGCTCGCACTCAATCACGCACTCATCCTCGCATTGAGACATATATTCAGTCACACAATCAGGAACTTTCACCTTCGCCCACATCCATGCAATCACCCATGCACTCACGCACGCACTCACTCTCATACTCACCTTCGCATTCACCTATGTACTCACTCTCTCTGGCACGCACTCAACGATGCGCTAATTCACGCATTGAATCACGCACTCACCCTCCTACTCAGTCAAGCACTCATGTATGCATTCACACTCGCACTCACCGTCGCACTTACCGATGCACTCACTCTTGCACTCAATAAAACTTTCACCCTGGCAATCATCCACGCACTCACCCACGCACTTAGGCATGCACTTACACATACGTTGGCACTCGCACTCGTCCACGAACTCATGAAAGCACCCACCCTCGCACTCAGCCAATCACGCATTCACTCAGCTAGACACTCACTCAGCTAGCCACTCACTCAAACTGACTTATGACTTGAGAAGACCGCTGTCGACAACGTCGGGAGTTTTTTGCTCCATATACTTCGAGACGCAGGCAACAACCGCATCATCGTTGACCTTGATGATTCTCGACCTGAAATGAGATTTTGAAATATGTACGACCAAAATGAGAAAAAAAAAATAGATTATCACACATGCGTATACAATATGAAAACACAATATCAAGCATGACGTTTTCAAAACCAAACTCATTGAAAATTGATTCGAAACTCATTATTTTCAAAACAAACCACTATAAATGGGACAACATCTATGTTTTTGGGGTTCAGGGCTTGACATACCTCTTAGTTGTCATGATCTGTCGGTCATCCTGATAGATCTCAGTGATCCACAGGACAACCTTCGTCTCATTGAAAAGAGTGTTCTTGGTCGTC